ACAGAATGAAATAATACCATATGCAACATGGACGGATCTAGAGATTATCATACTAAGTGAAGTAGGTCAGAAAGAGAAAGACAAATACCATATGATATCACTTATATGTGGAATCTAAAATATGATACAAATGAACGTATTTACAAAACAGAAACTCATGTAGAAAACAGACTCACATAGAAAACAGACTTACATAGAAAACAAAGTTACGGTTACTAAAGTGGAAAGGGGGTGGGGGAGGGATAAATTAGGAGTTTGGGATTAGTAGATACAAACTAATATATATAAAATAAACAACAAGGTCCTACTGTATAGCACAGGGAACTATATTCAATATCCTGTAATAAACTGTAATAGAAAAGAATATGAAAAAGAATATATATATGTATATATACTTTGAATCACTTTGCTGTACACCAGAAACTAACAGAACATTGTAAATCAACTATATTTCAGTTAAAAAAAAGAAAAAAGAATGACTCTTGTCTAAAAACAAAGACAAGTATTGGTGAGGATGTAGAGAAGTTGGAACCCTTGCACGCTGTTGGTGGAAATGCAAAATGGTACTGTCACTGTGGAAAACAGTATGAGGTTCCTCAGAAAATTAAAAAAAATAGAGCCACCATATGATCCAGCAAACCCACTTCTGGGGATTTATATAAAAGAATTGAAATCAGGATCTCAAAGCAGTATTTGCACTCCAATATTGGTTGCAGCATTAGTCACAATAGCCAAGATTGGAAACAACCTAAATACCCAGTGAGAGATGAATGGGGTGGGGGACATGGTATACAATGGAGTATTATTCAGTCTTAAAAAAGAAGGAAATTCTGCAAATGTGACGTAGTGGATGAACCCTGAGGAAATTGTGCTAAGGGAAATAACTGGTCACAGAAGAGCAAATATTGCATGATTCCACTTTCATGAGTTATCTAAAATAAATAGTTGAACTCATGGAAAAAAGGGATAGAATTGTAGCTGCCCAGTTTGGGGGCAGGTGGAAATGGAAAGTTGCTAATCAATGGGTATAAAGTTTCACTTACGTGACGTGAATTAGCTGTGGAGATCTGCTGAACATTATGCCTATAGATAACAATACTGTATTTTACATTTAAAAATCTGTAGAGAAGGTAGATATTATATTAAGTGTTCTTACCACAATAAAATTAAAAGGATTAAAAACAAAACAAAAACAAATGAGATTACAAAAATGACCGGGCAGATTTGAAAAAGAACCAAACAGAACTTCTAGAAATGAAAACATAATAATTGATATTGAAAATTCAGTAGATCAAATAACTGATTAGACACTTCTAATAAGTAAACTAGAAGATTGATCTGAAGCAATTACTAAGCATGTAGTACAGAGTGACAGAAAAAAGGAAATATGAAAGGCTAAGAAATGTGTGTGGCGGCTTCCCTGGTGGCGCAGCGGTTGAGAGTCCACCTGCCGATGCAGGGTACACGGGTTCATGCCCTGGTCAGGGAAGATCCCACATGCTGCGGAGCGGCTGGGCCCGTGAGCCATGGCCGCTGACCCCGCGCGTCTGGAGCCTGTGCTCCGCAACAGGAGAGGCCACAACAGTGAGAGGCCCGCGTACTGCAAAAAAAAAAAAAAAAAAGTATGTGGTCGAGTTGAAAGATCTGATATATATCTAATCGGATCTAGGAGAGATAGAATAGGGAGAGGCAGGATTCAGGGAAGTAATAGCTAGTAAGATTTTTCCAGAATCAAAGGAGAAAATATGCTAATCCACAGATTCAGGAAGCCTAACATGCTGAGCTGGATAAATAAAAAGGAATTGGTAAGACTGTGTAAAACAAAGGACAAAGAAGATCTTACAAGTTGACAGAGGACTAATATAAAACCTACAAAGGAGTGTCAGGCAGTTAGACCAACAAAAGCATTCTCAAAAGCCAGAAGACAAAAAATATGTTCAAAGTTCTGTGAGAAAATGACTGTCATCCTAAAATTATGTACTCAGCTAAACCACCTTTTAAGACCAAGAGTTAAATAAAGACTTTTCAGACAAAATATAAAGAAAGATCAAACAAAAGCCAGAATTTACCATTAAGAGATCCTCACTAAAGAACCTTCTAAAGGATATATTTAGGAAGAAACAAAATTATTTCAGAAAGAAGGTCTGAGATGCAATAAGGAACCTGAGCAAGAAAATAGGTAACACATAGTTAAGTCTGAACAGATATTGACTAAATGAAGCAATGATCACCTCTAATAATGTTTTATTTATAGGGTTGAAAAGGCCTGTAAGACAAAAGTAAAAGGAGGTATATAATTGCTTTAGAAACATTGACTTAGATAACTATTTATTAAAACTTTGGGGGCTTCCCAAAGTGGTTGAGAGTCTGCCTGCCGATGCAGGGGACACGGGTTCGTGCCCTGGTCAGGGAAGATCCCACATGCCGCAGAGCGGCTGGGCCCGTGAGCCATGGCCGCTGAGCCTGCGTGTCCGGAGCCTGTGCTCTGCAACGGGAGAGGCCACAGCAGTGAGAGGCCCGCGTACCGCAAAACACAAAAAAAACCTTTGGTGTAACTCCTAGTCTTTTTTTCTAATAACTGCCATCTATTGAGCAACTCTGTGCCTGGCACTCTTCTGCGCACTTTACCATGCATTGCCCTCACAGAAACCTTATGCAGTAAGTATTATCATTATCTGCATTTAACAGATGAGCAACCTGACAGATTATGTAACTAGATGAGGGTACCACTGCTAGTGAGTGGAAGGGCCAGGATTTTAACTTGTGCCCATCTGAGGCCTGTTATTTTTCCACTATATCAGGCTGTTTTCCTACTGATATTAGAAATAATCTAGCACAGAAAGTGTACATTTCCTCTTAGGTAGAGAGCTTCTCTCCTGCTTAAGGAATAAGAATGTTTGGGTTTCTTATGCACATGGAATTGCTAACAGACCTGTTGAGACAGTTCTGTATTTGACTTTAGATCTTCAGTGTTCTCTGTGATGCAGACATGTTTTTGTCCTTTAATTTGAAACTTCCATCCCGAAGGTTTGCTATGCTGATAGTCTTTGCCTTTCCTCTAGGGCTGTGTGCAAGAAGTTTGGGCTGCATGTGAGTCGAATGATGCTAGCCTTCTTGGTTCTCAGCACTGGCATGTTTTGCTCATCATCAGGTAAGTAAAAGAGCAGGTGAGGGCATAAAAGGTTCACTGATATTTCACAGTTGCATCAACCAGAAGAACTTGTCCAGATGTAGCTTATATTTGTGTAACATGTCAGTAATTTACAGTCCTGTTATCTACCTGCTCTTGATTGACCTTTACAGCCATCCTGTGGTTGTAAGGTCAGATAAATATTTATAAGTCAGATAAATATTTTCTCATTTTTGCAGGTAAGGATGCTGAAACTTAGAAAGGTGAAGCAACTTACTGAAAGCCAAAGAACTCATAAGTTGTAGAGCTGTTATTTTCATCAGGTTGCTTTCTATTACGTTATTATATTTTTTATCACAGCAGGGCTGAGAAACAGAGGCATCCACTGCCTTTCTTTGCTGTTAGGGGAAGGACAATAATTTTGTTATTTTGCTCAAGGAAGCACTTTATGTCTAAAAACCCTGGTCTTGATGGTTCTATTTTATGCCAGTTATTTGCAGTGTATTCTATAAAAGTATAAATATATACTATAAAATACAGTATTCTATAAAGTACTGTATTTTATAGAATAAAGTAAGCTTCTGGAAATTTAGAATAAAATTGTTAATGTAGAATGGTGGCTTTCAAACTGTGCTGCCATTGAACATTTGTGTCCTATGAGCTGAGCCAAAGTGGCCTATTGCCAAAAGGTAGCCTGTTTGCAGTTTTCCAGAAAAATTAAGTTACTAGATATAATCATCTCAATTTTAATTTTAATTTTTGCTTGTGTGTACCAGAATCTAGTATACACACTAAATATACACAAAAAATAGTATCTAGCGCAAAAGTATATATTTGCTTTTCACTGACTGTATCAAAATCCATGTTCTGCAGAGATCTCAGGGCCTCACGCCTGAATAACTTTGAGATCCACTGTCCTAAATGAGACTATGCTTTGCCGTCTGAGCTGGCAGAGACCTCATATTCCTCTGCTCCCCTTGGAGCTAGAATCAACAGCTTTGGATGGCATCAATATTATTTAGCATTTATCTGGGAAGGTTGTACTTCACATGTTTTTGTTTTGTTTTGTTTTGTTTTTTGCCGAACACAGGCCTCTCACTGTTGTGGCCTCTCCCGTTGCGGAGCACAGGCTCCGGATGCGCAGGCTCAGCGGCCATGGCTCACGGGCCCAGCCGCTCTGCGGCATGTGGGATCTTCCCGGACCGGGGCACAAACCCTTGTCCCCTGCATCGGCAGGCGGACTCTCAACCACTGCGCCACCAGGGAAGCCCTTCACATGTTTTTTTAGTTACTTTGCTACTCCTAAAATTGATTCTTATGTGAGGGAGATACCTGAGATTATTTTTAGTTTTATAATTTCAGCTGAGGATGTTAAGGCACAGATAAGTTAAAGGCATCCTTTGATATGAGCCTCTGAACCCTTTGCTGAGTTTCTCAAATCATACTGCCTGTTCATTGTGGTCCCTGTTGGAGTTGGTATTGATTTTTCTAGTGCTAGGTGAAGCACTTAAACAGCAGGGAGAGGCAGATCTGCATTTTTTGTAGAGTTGTTAGAAACATTTTGATGAAATGTTACTGTTGCAGAGACCCTGAAGGTGGTCAGTCCTCTGCTGTATGCAACAAGAAAGTTACCTTGATGGAAGTAATTAGGGGGACATCTAAAGGCCAAGCTATCTATGTCAGTGTATGAAGGATGCAAAGCAGTGCTGCCATCGAACGTATTTGTTCCTTGAGAAGGCTTCTGAGAATTCCTACGGGGTACAGGTTGCTAATAGGACAGTCTCAGAAGACTATCAGAGGATAAACTTCTTCAGAAACAGATTGTTAGCAATGGCTCTAAATTTCTTGAAGCATACTTCCTGTCTGGAAATGTAACCTGGAGGTACCTCTGGGGAACCTGGAATCCTGTAAGTTTTAGACTTGGGGTACAGGCCAGGAGATAAATGGCATGGTTGGCATTGTATAATTGGGTGATGTATTGGTACATAAAAAACAGGAGAGAGAAAATAAAATCATTGAACTTTGTTTTTTAACGAGTATCACTTTACTCCTCATTTCTAATATAGCATTGCTCAAAGTATGTTCCTGGTTATTGACATATTGCAGTGCAGCTATATTTTTAATAACTGATAACTCATAAATCTCAATCTCTTGTCCCTTTCCCCTGTTTTTTTTCATTTCTTTTGTCTTGCAGCATTCCTTCCTAGCAGCTTCTGTATGTACACTACATTGATAGCCATGACTGGCTGGTATATGGACAAAACTTCCTTTGCTGTGCTTGGAGTAGCAGCTGGGGCTATCTTAGGCTGGCCATTCAGTGCAGCTCTTGGGTAAGAAACTAACCTGATTCATCTTCCATGTATCACTGAGTATACAGTCAATCCTAATGTTAGGTTACCTCCATATTCTTTGGGTAGGACCTAAAGTTATAGAAATTAATTATTCAAAGATTCTGGGAATTGGAAGAATATTTCTCTTAGTACTTATTGTTATGATTAATTCTAATAAGAAAGTGACTGTTAAGCATCTGCTGTATCCTGTGCACAGCTAAACCCTTTATGAACTTTATTCCTAAACCTACTCTGCAAGACAAATACAATTATTAGTGCTTTTTTTTTTTTTGGTGGGTCTCCATTGCTGCGTGTGGGCTTTCTCTAGTTGCAGCAAGCAGGGGCTACTCTTTGTTGTGGTGCGCAGGCTTCTCATTGCAGTGGCTTTCGTGTTGCAGAGCATGGGCTCTAGGTGCGTGGGCTGCAGTAGTTGTGGCACGCGGGCTCAGTAGTTGTGGTGCGTGGGCTCTAGGGCATGCGAGCTTCAGTAGTTGTGGTGCATGGGCTCAGTAGTTGTGGTGTGTGGGCTCTAGGGCACATGGGCTTCAGTAGTTGTGGTGCATGGGTTCAGTAGTTGTGGCTCGTGGGCTCTAGAGTGCAGGCTCAGTAGTTGTGGTGCACAGGCTTAGTTGCTCCGTGGCATATGAGATCTTCCTGGACCAGGGAACGAACCCGTGTCCCCTGCAATGGCAGGCAGATTCTTAACCACTGTGCCATCAGGGAAGTCTCCAATTATTAGTGCTTTATATAAATGAGAAAGTGGACTTCGAGAGGTTTTGAGTAATTTGCCTTTAAGGTTATGTTTGCTTTGGATCCAGGCCTTCTGACTGTAACAGCTGATGTTTTTTCCACGCTGTACCACCCTGTGCTGTGCATTTTCCCGGTCACCCAGGCTTGTTATCTGAGTTTCCTTTCAGTCCTTCTTCTTTCCTGCCTGCAGCATCTTTTTTTTTCCCAAGTTCCATAGTACCTCTCATTCCTTTTGTACTTTTTGTTTTCACAACTTCTCTAGTTTGTGTTGCCTTAATTTCTTGCCTGTACCACTAGTTATTTAGAAAAATATGTTAGCTTGTGTTAAGGTTATTATCATAGTAGTATATCTTTATTATTTTAAAAAAGTACCAGATTGTATGAGGTAAAAAGAATTCTTAGTTCTTTTCTCCCCTAACCCAGTCTTCACAGTTAGTCACTGCTGATAGTTTTGTACATATCTTTCCAGAAATTATCCTTACATGAATAAATGCACACATACACGTTTATACATACATACTTAAATTCTTAAAACAAACAGAATTATCCTATACATATGTATATCTTCTGTACATAGATTTATATCGTCCTTTGTATCGGTTGCATAACATTCCATTATTATATGGCTGTCCATAATTTATTTAACCATTGTTTTATTGGTAGGCATTTGGTTTTCAGTTTTTTTGCTGTTATACCCAATGCTTCAGTGAACATTTTTGTACATATGTCTATACACTTGTGGAAATTTATCTATGGGATACATTTTTATAAGGGAGTTACTAAATCAGAATAGGCATTTAAAATTTTCTTAAGTGGATTTTAAAGGCTGATTTCCCCACCTCCAATCTTCTATTCTGCACATCATTCTCAAATTAATTATATTTCTCAAGATTTTGTGTAAGAGCCTCTTCTGTACTTTCTGCTCTCTCCATCATCTTGATGAGTCCCATATCTTTATATAGTCCAGTCATCTCTTAAGCTTCACTCATGTATACCTAGCTGCCTATTGGATATCTCCATTTATATAGCTAAACATTTACAGACTGAACTCATTATCTTCCCTCCAAATCTGTCCTTTACCTTTGTTTCTAGCCCAGAAATGGTACCACCGTCTGTGCTGAGCCAGGACCTGAAAATTATCTGTGACTGTTTTCTCTTTCTCATGTCTTATTAATTTCTTGTACTTCTTGAATATCTTTTTTTTTTTTCGCGGTACGCGGGCCTCTCACTGCTGCAGCCTCTCCCGTTGTGGAGCACAGGCTCCGGACGCGCAGGCCCAGCGGCCATGGCTCACGGGCCCAGCCGCTCCACGGCATGCAGGGTCCTCCCGGACCGGGGCACGAACCCACGTCCCCTGCATCGGCATGTGGACCCTCAACCACTGCGCCACCAGGGAAGCCCCTGAATATCTTTTGAATCTACTTTTCTTCACCTCTCTCTGTTCTTTTACGTAGGCTCATAAATGATCTTCCCATCTCTAGTCTTGATCCTTATAAATCTGCTCTCCACGCTCAAACTAGAGGTATCTTCCTAAAATGCAAATATGATTTTATCACTCTGTTTTGTCTTTGTAATAGCTTCCCCATTGCTCTGTGTCACAGAGGTTGGCATTCTGTAGCCTGTGGGTCACACATCCAGCTGGCCTGTTTTGTATAGCCTAAGAACTAAGAAATTTTTACATTTTTAAAGGGCTGTTAAAAAACAACACACACACACACATGAATATGCAACAGAGACCATATGGGGCCTGCAAAGCCTAAAGTGTTTGCTATTGGATCCGTTAAATAAAAAGTTTGCCAACCCCTGCTCTATGGGGTCCAAACTTTAATGTGACTCACAAAGCCTTGTTCTTCCCTCCTTTTTACTTTTCCATCCTCCTTTTGTCAGTTTCTGCATTCCTTTTACTCTCTACTGGGTTTACATTGAACTTCATGAGTTCCCCAAATACCTCTGAGTTGGCGCGTTTTGATTAGTCTGCCTTTAGATAAATGATTTCAGGATCACAGTTAATCAGTCAGTTAGCAATGTACTATCATTTATTGACTTATCAAAGGAGAAATGCAGGTGCTATGGAAATGTAACTAGTTGGGGAGAAAAAAATAAAAACACAGAATGTTAATGCAATATTTAGGTAATAGAACGTGGAATTTCAAATCTTAGAAGAGATGTTCACATGACATTGCCAAAGAGATGATAGAGATGATAGTGCCGTATAAACGTAAAGACTTTATGGAAGAGGCAGGAGCAGAGCCTGTAATTGACATTGGGTAGATTCTGTGTAAGTAAATAGATTGGTGTGAGATGGAATTCTTTGTGACTGGAGCACAGGTAAGGGCTCTGACTAGTGTCCTAGATTAGGAAGTCATGGATATGAAGGTGATTGTTCATGCAAGAGGAGTTGAAGCACCCGAGAAAATGAGTATATATAGAGAAAAGTACAACCTTGCTTTTGGGAGCTAGGACCATGGTAGGGCACACCATGAGGCAGGGAAAAAGAAGCCTAGAAAGGAGCACTAGGGAAGCCCCCAGAAAAGAACATCTGAGCCAGGGAGTCTAAAGAGGAAGGAGCAGATGCTTTGTGTCAAGTGCAACAGAAAGACAAAGGGAGATGAAGCTTGTGGAAACATACTGGGTTTGGCGGACAGGAGATTCCTGGTACCTTAGATCAGTCTTAATAGCTTGATGTTAGGCCTTAAGGAAGAAATAGTGAAGACAACACACATATGCTGTTGATACTTGCTTGAGGAATTTAAGTGAAAGGAAGAAGAACAAATATTACATATTACATTTTGGAGCAATATTACATATTGGAAAGGGATATATCAGAATTGAAGTGAAAGTTTGTAATATTATTTTATTACTAAAATCTTAATACATCGTGGAAGGGAGAAATCAGTATTTATTTATTTGGCAGGGTGGGAGTAGGGCAATAGGGTACATTTACTTACAATTAACATATTTTAAATGTCCATTACACATAAATACGTGTAAAATGGAGCTCATTCCGAATACGAATATTTATATTTCTTGTGCATTGTGGGATGCATCTCACTCTGATGAGTCCTGTGAAGAGATCACATTTTTTATTTTTGAGAAGACATCCTTTCATGTACCAGCTTTCTTCCCTCACTGTAATTGCTAGAGACATTTTATTCTCAGTTCAGCATGAGGTGTGTGTAAATCTGACCTGTTTCAGTTTCTATTCTAAGTATTTAACTCCCCACTTTCTATCTCTCTGTTAAATAGTTTACCTATTGCCTTTGATTTGCTGGTCATGAAGCACAGATGGAAGAGTTTCTTTCATTGGTCACTGGTTGCCCTAATGATCTTTCTGGTGAGTTTTCTTTTTATCTTGTTTTGTTCTAAAGTTGTAATGAAAGCAACTTCTGATGTGGATGGAAAAGAGAACATTAGGAATTGATTCTGTTTTTCATTCTAAAGTTTATCCTATTAGCATTGTGAGAATGTTTCCAGAGCAAAACTCTGCAATTGCTATGTATTTTCTGCTCTCTTTTAGGTGCCTGTGGTGGTCATTGACAGCTACTATTATGGGAAGTTGGTGATTGCACCACTGAACATTGTTTTGTATAATGTCTTTACTCCTCATGGACCTGATCTTTATGGTAAGGCCTTATGAAATTAGGGAAGAGTTAGGGGATAGCTTAATTTGCCTCAGCTTTGAAATTTTAATTCAGCTGCCACATTTTATCAAATATAGCCTTTCTTTGCTGGTAATATTTTCTTATTTAAAAATAAATGACATTTGAACATAGCACAGTGATGATATATAGCCACTAAATATTTTTCCTTGATTAATGTGATGTTCAGATCTGGCTTTCTGTTAGTCCTGCTGCCTCTTATTCTCAGTTTCAGAGTAGTGAGGACTCTGTTGGGTATGCCTTGGGTTTTGATGCTACTCGTTTAAAATTAAGTTACTTTTTTCTCTTCTCATTAGAAAATCAATATGATAACAAAAATAAGAAAATTAAAACATTCATAATCCTATCATCTCCAGATAGCTGTTGTTAACACCTTGGAAAATATTCCTCCAGAGATTTTCTATACATTTGGTATAACATTTGGAGTTACTTTTTCTTTTTTTAATTTGTTTTACTTTAGTATTATGCATTAGGGGAGAAAGTTTAGAAAATCTGTAGACAAAGTGTAGCAAATGGGAGTGAGGTCAGCATGAGAGGGTGGATAGTTTGGCCAGTTTAGGATTAAGAGGGGAAAAAAGGGAATGCCTTTAGTCTGGGGTTGGTTCTCCAATTTCCATCCATCTCCATCCCTCCCCCTTTTTTTTTTTTCCCAGCCAACCATTGAGCTTGTTTTGGGTTTTTTTTGTTTGTTTTTTTGTCCCCTGAGGGCATTTGAGTTAGTGACCACTACAGAGGGATAAGCTAGAGATCTTTCTAACGAGATCAGCCAAGTCAGTAAACATTTTATGAGACACTTTCTCATTAAATAAGTATAGTTTCTTCTGCCTTAATCTTTTGAAGGTCTTAGAGCATTCTGTATATGTGACTGTCTTGGGCTCTGCTATGAAGCAGGTTAATATTATTTCTGTGTCTCTTAATTTCACCCACGCCCATCATTTTTCTGTGCCACTTTGCCAATAGAACCAACAGATCGACTGAGGAGAATTAAAGTAAGCATATAAATGAGATTTAATTGGGCCTCCTGGGATTTGGGGAATGTTGTCATTTTAGATGGCGGGTAATAGGTTAAAAATAAACAGTGTTTTGTTCAGTGAATTGAATCCACAAACTGCATAGTTAGAGAATAATTGCTAAGTGAAGGAATTTTAAAAGGCTCTTTTATGTGGCTCCAAGATCGCTGAGACTATGAGAAAAAGCCCCAATTTTAAGCTTTTGCCTCTAGATGTCTCCCTTTATCTAGGGAGAGTTGCGTGTTTTTAATTGCCCATTGTTTTAGTTTACTTGTGAAACTTCAGTTGATTCTACAGGACAAGAAGGGGGACTGTCCTCCTACATCCAGATTGCATATTAGAAATTGATTTACATGGAACCTATTGGAAACATAATATACATTATATATAGGTGAATAAATTGTGTTAATTTGAGTTAAATTTTGAAAAGTTGGCTTCTCCACCTTTTAAATGGGTTATTACATATTGATATTCTGACTGCTTATTTATAAATAAAACTTTGTGTGAGAGTATATGAAAGTTTCATAATTTTTATAGTCCTCTAGATTGATGAGGATTTTACATCTAGAGATAAGCAGGTTGGTAGGGAGAATAGGAAAGAAAGAGTAAATTCTGACCTAAGTTTATGTTTCTAGCTTAACAGTGGGTAGGTTTTAGGATCCAGCGGAGCAGTGGCCAGTCTTTCTCTGCATGTTGGCATCTGCTGTTCATTTCAGCCAGTGTTTTATGGGGAAGAGTCCTTGGGTCTCTGTTCTGCCAGCTTTAGTGAACCTAGGTTAGCTTCAGTTCAGATTTTGCTATTTTGGATGTGCAGGAGCTGATCACTTTCCTAGTGATAGAAAAAGCTTTGTTGGGACAGAGGGAATTGTTGTACTGGGTATCAACAGGACTGATTGCGGGGCTGTAGTCAGCCAGACTTTAGGGGGTTGTTCCTTGATGGTAGAATTTTTGTGCTTTTCCCTCATCTTTGACAAATTTTCAGGGGTGTCTGATTTCCATGTTAACTCCATTTTGCTTTAGCAGACTTACAGAGAATGTTTCTTCCATTTTAGGAGTAGGTAGTCTTTGTGTATTCTAGGTCTTCAGTAAAGATTTCTTATGAATGAATGAATGAACAAATTCTGGAGTACCTATCAGATTACATAAGTGCTCTGATCACTATTATGTCCTAGAACTAGATACAAATTAAGAACAATAGAGGTGAAAGTAGTACTTTACCATTGTCAGCTAATTTTATTGTAATTGTTGAGTCCATTCAGTAAATATCAAAGACTTATATGCTGTACAGTTGTCAGACAGCCTGTTTTTTGTCATGGAAACTCTTTCACTTGTTTGGTACTTTTTGGCATTATTTTGACTATTTTCTAAGAGTCCCCTGCTTAAAGTGCTTTGTTAGCTATGGTAGGCACATAGTTTTTTTTTTTTTTTTAAAGAAGATGTTGGGGGTAGGAGTTTATTAATTAATTAATTTATTTTTGCTGTGTTGGGTCTTCGTTTCTGTGTGAGGGCTTTCTCTGGTTGTGGCAAGTGGGGGCCGCTCTTCATCGCGGTGCGCGGGCCTCTCACTGTTGTGGCCTCTCTCGTTGCGGAGCACTGCGCAGGCTCAGTAGTTGTGGCTCACGGGCCTAGTTGCTCCACGGCATGTGGGATCCTCCCAGACCAGGGCTCGAACCCGTGTCCCCTGCATTAGCAGGCAGATTCTCAACCACTGCGCCACCAGGGAAGCCCAGGCACATAGTTTTTTATCTGAAAATTTAAAATGCGTTGTGCTGATAGTTTTTGCATACATCTAGTGTTGTCTCTTACATATAAGAACATAATAAGCCTATAAATACTTCTTGAATGAATGGATAAATGACTTCAGCTAAAGAAACATTGAATCAATTGCTTTTGAGCATTTATCATGTGTCCTCATAGAATTTACTGTCTAATAAGGCTGCAGACACATGAATAGATAATTACAGTCCAATCTGTTATGTGCTACAGTGGAAAGATAGGGAATCAAAGGAGCAAGTTCATCTGATAGTATCAGGAAAGACTTCTTAGAGGTAGTGATCTTTGAGCTGAGCCTGGAAGGAAGAGAAGGAGTTTGCCAGGTAGGCACCATGCGGGTACATTGTAGAAAAATAGAATTTCAAGTGTGGGGACTGCTGAGACAAAAAGATTGAATATTGAGTTCTTTTTTAAAAACTTAAAGTAGTTTTACAGCATTAGCTGAATTTTAGGTAGGAACTACACAGGCATGAGCAAGATAATTTCAGTCTCTCCATTGTGATTGTAATAATGGTCCCCAACTTATGATGGTTCAACTTAGAATTTTTTTTGACTTTATGATGGTGCGAAAGCAATACACGTTCAGTAGAAACCATACTTCGAATTTTGAACTTGGATCTTTTTCCAATAGGCGGTATGATATCTCTCGTGATGCTGGACAGTGGCAGCAAGCCATACCTCCCAGTCAGCCACTCCATCATGAGGGTGAACAATGGAAACTCTTACAGCCATTCTTTACCAGCAACCATTCTGTTTTCACTTTCAGTACAGTAGTCCATAAATTACATAAGACAGTCAACATTGTGTTATTAAATAGGCTTGGTGTTAGGTGATTTTGCCCAACTGTAGGCTAATGTAAGTGTTCTGAGCATGTTTGGGGTAGGCTAGGCTAAGCTGTGATGTTCGGTAGGTTAGGTGTATTAAATGCATTTTTGACTTACGATATTTTCAGTTTATGATGGGTTTATCAGGACTTAACTCCATCATAAGTCGAGGACGATCTGTAAATATTTATTCTCTCTGTTGTTTCTGGTTTTCAAAGGGACCTTTCTATACTTTCTTGGCCAGATAACATATATTAATGACACATTCCAGACCTGGGCTGACTCTTGACTTTTGAAGCCAGGGGAAAGAAATAGTTTTCACAACTATTACTTGGATGAGGTAAAGAATACTTGGCATTTGGGAAATTTAGAGTAGTGTAGACATAAAGTTGCAAAGTTGTAGGGGAAACATCTCTATAGGGTCAGAGATCAAGAGGTGAAATTTAGTGTTGCAAAAAGGAAAGTGACTGGGCTTGGCACTGATTTTGCCTCTTTCCCTTGTAACATTTCAAGTCCTCAGATGTTGAGGTTAAGTATTTTTGTGTGTGAGTGAAGAGCAGTGCTGCTGTCTGATGAGCAGGACACAGGCCCGGAGAAGGTGTGGGAGGACAGGTGTAAGAAATGCTCTCCCCTCAAAAATAACAGTGGGTCTGCTCAAGGATGCCACTTGGTGGCCTAGGATGTGATCCCTGCCTGTTTGTGTGTTTTATCAAATCTGTCAGATCACAGGACAGGAGATTTCAGAAGGTAGGGGCTGGTGTCCTCTATCAAAAGGCCCACAGTTTTCCATTCCTGCAGCAGCAGAGGATGAAGCCCCAGAGGAGTCTTTTGGGGAGTGCTCAGGGTCACCTGCCAGCCACAGCTGTTCCAGAGCCTTCCCTCTTTTGTTAATCATTTCTGTTGAACCTTGGTGGCTTTTTCTTCTTGGTGGTGCAAATTTGACATTTATAAGGATGATTTACTATAATTTAGTTCCTAGAGTTCTATAAAATTGGAGGCCTATAAAAGATTCCAGATTCCATTCAATCTGTGGAACAATAAACATTATCCCCTCTTCTTTTAGCCTCTTGCAAAGCTCCCTTTAGCTCGTTTGAATGAAAGGAATTGAGGCACTTTCCATAAAGAGGGAGATAGGTGAGTCACTCCCTGCAAAGACCCTGCTTCCAGCTTCCTTTCACCTTTCATTTTGCACCAGTTAAATGCTTAGCATCTCATTCCGACACATTTTTTCTACATAGTTCAGCTTTGATATTTTCTGAGAGCAGCGCTGAATATCTCCCTGGAAAGAGATAAAAGTTTTTACTCTTTGAAGGCAGATGCCTCATCAAGTAGGGGAGGACACTGGCTAACAGAATTCACTATTTTTGTCCCCTTTTGCTCTTGTTTTTAAGACTGTTGTCAACTTGAACCTTCCCAAATCTTGACTTATCCCCCGATTTTTACCCCATCCTTCAGGGAAGTAACAGTCTTACGAAATGTTCACAGCCTAACTGTGAACTTGATCTATGAGCTCCTAACACATAAAAATAATTGAGTTTACCAACTTAATGCTTTTGGTTCCACATCTCAGAGTACAGTGTACCTTGGTAAAAAGATACCCCTAACAGGAGGGCATAGTAAGTTGTGGTAAAGACAAAAAGACTAAAGAGCTTTCCTGAAAAAAACGTATATTTGCAAAGATCAAAGAGAAAGAGGCTTTTTTTCTTTTGATGTTTAGCACCTGTAGTAGATGATGTGGAAGGTGATCTCCTTTCCTCTAGTCACTCTGGTTTTTCTTCTCAGGGTCAGATTTCCAGAATTTTGTAAAGAAAAAGGTGGGTCAAGGTTGATAGCATTGCCACCACACTGGCAGTCAGGAGAGGATTGTGCAAAAACTTACTTCTCTGGAAACTGGATGTCTAAAGAACTCAGTTTAGGAAATGTGTTGTTAAATAGTAATAAACATCCAGAGAAGACGTGTATTTCTGTTTTGAAAATAAAACCATCCATTAGTTTTCTATAACCCAAAAGGTTATTTGTAGAGAATACAAGATATAAATGTCTCTAATGAGCTTGGCCTGGGACAAAATCTCTGTTCCTGAACAGTCCCTATCATTGTATTTAGACAGGAAGGAGAGAGCTTTCCCAAAAGGTGACCCACGATTGAATTTGAGTCCTTCCTTAGGGTCCCCCTCTTCTTCTTCCTCCTCCCTTAGATGTTTCTAGCATTAAGGGTTTGGTTTCTAATCTTATTTTGCTGTGCAAGCTGCAAAAATGTCAGGCTTTTCTGCCTATTTCTCTGCCTTCTGATTACCCTTTTAAGCAATGCTGATTGCAGTAAATTGCTGTGGTGCAACGCGGGTGTCACAACACACAGTGATTAAAACTCGCATGTGTCATTCACTGCCTGATTGAAGTAATCACATGGAGGGGAAGAGCAGATGAAAAACCTGCTAAATGTGCAGAGGGGGGCTTTTTCTCATCATTTGGGTTTAAGGATTTTGAGTTAAAGAATCAAAACTTGTGTGAGGAAGGCTTGTGTTTTCAGTCATTTTGTTTCATTCTGAATCCCCAAAACTTCCGAGCAGGGTCTGGGTCTCTGAGCATGGTTTTCCTAAGGAAAACAAGTTGTTGCTTTTTACGGAACACAGGGGACCTGTATACACACTATCAAATAGTGGTTGAGTGTATCAAGGGGAAGGATGCTAGAATGTAACTAGGAGAAACAGGTAGGAAGGAAATGGGAAAGGCCCTAATAACTCAGCCCTGCAAGACTGCAACCCACCACGCCCACCCTCCCCCAACCCCTGTGCCCCTACTTCACGTGCCAATTCAAAGTCCAGGTTGTCACCTGGGCTTCTGACTGACCAGCTGTAGATTAGTTGTCCCTGCAACCCCCACCTCAGGTTCAATCAATTTGCCAGAGTGGCTCCCAGAACTCAGAGAAACATTTACTTGTGTTTACCAGTTTATTATAAAGGATACAAGCCAGGTGGAAGAGATGTGTAGGGCAGGGTGTTTGGGAACATAACGTGGCACTGCCGTGCTCTCTGGGTGTGCCACAGCCCCGTGGGCTCCTCTGCCTGTTCACCAACCCAGAAGCTCTCTGAACACTGACTGTCCTTTTGGGTTTTTATGGAGGCCTCATTACATAAGTACCATTGCTTGAATCATTGGCCATTGTTGATGAAACCCTGTTGCCAGCCCCTCTCCCCTCCCCAGAGAAGGGGAGGACAGGACTGAAAGTTCCAACCCTCCAGTCACTCGATTGGTTCCCCTAGCAACTAGTCCTCATCCTTAGGTTACCTGGGGCTTTCCTGAAGCTCCCTCATTAACAGAACAAAAGACACCTTTATTACTCTCACCACTTCGCAAATTACAAGGGTAATTTTAGGAGCTTTTTACTAGGAATGGGGGTGAAGACCAAATAAATACTTCTTATTATAAATCATAGTGTCACCACTAAGCTATTTATGTTATTTGGTGGTTCTGAAAAGTATTAGTTCCGTTTGGGCTAGGTATAGTGGTCATGATAGAAAATACAGCTAAATATTTGAAACCTGATTTCTAAGAGGGGGGCGGCTTGTGGACTCTCATACACATGAGGCACTGGATCATCAACATTACTTGAACAAAAAACAGTACGAGTCAAGCGTTGTAATAGGTATTGGAGGCATCCACTAATGATTTCTTATCTCGTTATCTCCCTCAGGTACAGAGCCCTGGTATTTCTATTTAATTAATGGATTTCTGAATTTCAATGTAGTCTTTGCTTTGGCTCTCCTGGTCTTACCACTGACTTCTCTTATGGAATACCTACTGCAGAGATTTCATGGTGAGTGGCATAACGGATGATAGACTTGGTGGGGCGTGGGAGGGAAGAGAAGTAACAATGGGTACCAAGAAGTGAAAAAGAATCTACTTACTTGATTCTCCATTTTCTTCCTATGGAAATGTTTGGTTTATTGCATTTTCCATTTGTGTTCGTAGATTATTTAACTTATGTTGTTAACCTGTGTGAAAGTTTGGTTAATAATTGCAAGTGAGGAGTCTGTATGATTTACAGAACCACCTGGAGAGGCAGAAACATTTATAAAATCTTGGGAGATAAGCCTATCTATACGAGTCTTCTGTTTTTTAAAGAACTGTGTGTTGGCATGCAAGATTGCTTAAGATAATCAATGCTAGAGGCAAACATTCTCTGGGAAATTCAACCAAAAATTTGAGAACTAAACCATATAGAGGTTCCCCCAAATTGGATGCTTGTTCTGATTCTGTATTGCACAGCCAGTGTTTTCTCAGGTTGTCATGGCTCTGGATATGTAGTGCCCATAGTTTCTTTTATGGAAGACAGATCTGAGCAGAAATGCATCTGAGCTTTGGAAGGAGATTTAACTTCAGACTTTTTAGTCTGATTTGGATGCCATATGATCCCTCAGTACCATTCCCCATTCTGCTTTTCTACTATTAATGGTTTATAAAGACTTCACTGTGTTCATAGAATATGAAAGCAGCCTTCAGAGTCACTTTTGTTTTGTTTTAGGACTTTCGTTGTAACATAACCGTGATGCCATTATCCTAACAAAATTAACAGTAATTTCTTAATATCATCTAATACCCAGGTAATGTTTAGATTCCTACATTGTCTGAAAAATAGCTTTTTATAGTTTTTATAGTTCTTTATAGTTTGTTTAAAGCAGGATCTAAACAAGAGTCATATAGTGAACTTGGTGTTATGTTTCATAAGCTTTTTTAGAGGTTCCCCCCTCACCTTTTTCCTCCTGGAGATTTCTAAAGAAACCAGGTCATTCATCTTGCATAGTGTCCCACATTTGGATTCAGCTGTTTGTCCCCTCGAGGTATTAATGTATTCCTCCATTCCTTGTATTTCTTAAGGATCATTTTTTTTTTTTTTTTTGAAAAGTAACTTTTTCCCTGACTATAAAAATACTTATGCTTGTGGAAAATTTGGAAATGCTTGTGATGTAAGTATAAAAACAGTAAAAATAAAATAAAAATAGTATATTAAGCTGTTCTCTAAAGTATGAATCCAATTTTGGTTTAAAAGTGTGTAATGTATCCACATGTCCACCTAGTAACTAGTCCCCATCCTTAGGTTACCTAGGGGCTTTCCTTTATACTTTTTAAAATACTTTTTTAGTACTTTTCTTCTGTTTTTTTCTTTATTTTTTTTTGTATTTTATAATGGAAACAATCTTTTTCAAAAGAGGAAACATTAAGAAATAAAAATAATAAAAGAAAAAACGTAGAAAAATATAAAGAGGCAGGAAAGAAATTACCCATTATCTCATCATGTAGTACAACTGGTTATAATTTTGTACATTTTATAGAGGACATTTCAAAATTTTAGGCCATATTTTTAAAATGTATTCGTTAGCTTTTAAGATACAGAAGAGGAAGAGATTGTTTACTTATAGAAGACAGATTTTTTTCTTATGATGAAGAAAATTCCAACCTAAAATACCTCCTGGAAAGGTATAAGTCCTAAATTATAACCTAAAATCTCATGATAAAATCTTAGAGTGAGAAGTTTAAAAGATAAGGTTGTTATTGCAGTTCAAGAATTTTTATTCGTAAAGAGTTTCTGCAAAAGCACGGATAACTACGGAGCACAGTTAAACATTGCTTAGTTGGGCTTTGATGACAACCCTGATCTTTTTATCTAAATTTGCTCAGTGTAGACATAATGGACACCAGGGGGCGCTATCTATCTACCCTAGGCCAGTGATTCCTGCGCACTTCTTGTTGTCACTAGTATAAGCACAGCAGGGGATGCCTTCACTGTAGGTTGCAGGTTTATCACTCAGTGTTCATGTACCTAACCACAGGAACCTTCCAGTAGGTGCTTAGGTCTTAGTTTTCATTAAATTCCTTTAATTCTTTCACATGCTTTTAAGTACACCTTGACTTTAATTTTGTGATACAGAGTGGATGGGTACTGCAGAACAGGAGAGAAAACTTGATCAGTAAACTTCCTTTAAGAGTGTTTTTATATTTGCTTTGAAACAAACTCTGTCATTTGTAGCTTGAGGAAAACCAGTGATGGGTTTGAGAATCCTACTTTTTTCCTTTTCTTTGATCTATAGCCATTTGGTGTATAAGTAAGATTAATGCAGTAAACAGAGCATAGGAATTAAAATACAAGAAATGAATTTATGTTATGCTTTTGGTTGATCTCAGGAACTTTTAGTCTTAGTGGCAGGACTCATTAGGAAGAGAAATCTGTTTTTTCTTCATCCAGTGTAGAAATTATTAAGCTCTATTACGCATTCACCTGTTCTAGCTAAATCCAGTATTGTGCCTTCCTTTAAATGTTGGACCTCTTGGGAGGGCTAAGGAGTATATACCTCTTTCTACTTGACTCCTTTATTATATCAGAGAAAGTGTGAATACAAGAATTGAAACATTTTATTGGGTGCCCTAGGGTATACATCCCAGTTTGAGGTCAAGAGAACATTGAAACTAAACATGCTGTTTTGTTCTAACATGGTGAAAGGTGGATATTTTTCTGTCTTACAGTTCAGAATTTAGGCCACCCATATTGGCTTACCTTGGCTCCAATGTATATTTGGTTTATAATTTTCTTCATCCAGCCTCACAAAGAGGAGAGATTTCTTTTCCCTGTATATCCACTTGTATGTCTCTGTGGTGCTGTGGCCCTTTCTGCACTTCAGGTGAGTTTCAGGGAAATGTATATCTGCTTCATTCTGTTTCACTTTAAATCGTTCATAAAACTTATAGGCAAATTACAGAATGCTTCCACCTAAGATATTTTATCTGTACATTACACCTGATACAGATATTATAAAGCTTTATGTATTGATTGCTTAAATGTTGCTTTGACTCTTATTTGCTGATTACGTATTTGCAGTGTTAATTTGTGTGTTAATTTGTCTCTGTTGCCAATAAGAATCCAATTGCTATGAAAGGAATTTTTTTAAGTCACTGAATGGGCCTAGCACAGAACGGTGGAACCACAGCAGAGCTAATGGAATGTGTACTCTTCCACTACAAGACCTGAATGAAACTGGCTCAAGTGTTTGGGATTACATCAGGCAGTTAGCAATGTGGCACACTTTGTAATCCTGGCTTAAAAACCTGTCCAGGTCAATTCCCTGTCAGAACTAATCTTGAATATCTCTGTAATTATGGCTTCAGAAGCGCCAGACTCTTTTTTTTTTTTTAACCTCTGCTACCATTTGCAGTTAGCAGAAGAAGAATAATTAGGGTGATAGTTTTTTTCTAGTTTTTTTTCTTAACAGATTTATGTTAAGATATAATTCACAAACCATAGAATTTACCATTTAAAGTGTATGATACAGTCTTTTTTAGGCTATTCACAGATCTATGTAAGCCTCACTGCAGTCAATTTTAGAACATTTTTATCACCTCAAAAACCCTGTACCCTTTAGCTGTCGTAACCCCCCTTCCATATCTCCTCAGCCGTAAGCAACAGCTAATCAATCTACTTTGTATCTCTATAGATTTGCCTATTCTGGACATTTCATATAAATGAAATCATAAAATATGTGGTCTTTTGTGACTTCTTTCATTTAGCATAATGTTTTTATTTTTTAAAATAAATTTATTTTATTTATTTATTTTTGGCTGTGTTGGGTCTTCGTTGCTGTGCGTGGGCTTTCTCTAGCTGTGGCGAGCGGGGGGGCTACTCTCCGTTGCGGTGCCTGGGCTTCTCATTGCGGTGGCTTCTCTTGTTGCAGAGGACCAGCTCTAGGTGCGCGGGCTTCAGTAGTTGTGGCAGGCGAGCTCTAGAGTGCAGGCTCAGTAGTTGTGGTGCACCGGCTTAGTTGCTCTGCGGCATGTGGGATCTTCCTGGACCAGGGCTCGAATCCGTGTCCCCTGCATTGGCAGGCGGATTCTTAACCACTGTGCCACCGGGAAGTCCTAGCATAATATTTTTAAAGCTCATCCATGTTAGGATGATAGTTTTAAAAAATAATTTTAATTATAAAAGTAACTGAACTTTATTGCAGATAATTTTTCTTTTACCACTTTCTAAATCAGTCCTACTACCCTAACAAAATCTCCTTCTAGCATTTTTGCCGATCATATAACAATCTATTTTGATTGTAACCTAAGGTTCATGTAACTTTACATCCCTCTTAATATAATTATAACATTCTCTATATTGCTATATCTGTACCCATCATTTTAATAGCAATATAATATTCTAAGGTGGATATAATATACAACATTATTATGTAATATACTGAATTGGTTATATATAATGATTAGATATAATTTATGTTAAAGTTTAGATTGCTCACTTATTTCAATATTATAAATAATGCTAGGGTAAATATCTTTGTTTAGGTATTTGGATTGTTTGCTTAGGAGAGATTCCAGAAAACATGAAAGGGATCCAAACATATTTATGGCACTTGTTATGTATTGCAAAATTGCTTTCCAAAAGTAGTTTCTAGTCTAGGAGGGAAAGAAGGGAGGACAGAAATCTCATGGGAAGGTGTTCAAAGGCTGCAGAACTCATGCAGGTGTGTATATTGTTAATGATATTCATCTAGTTTGTGAAGTAGTTTAGCAGATAATTAACAGAATTTTCCTAATATTCTATGTGAGGAATTCTTTTTTCTTTTTGTTTGGTCATGAGACATTTTGTTGTTGCTAAAAACTTAGATGAAAACTTGTTAGTAAGGAAAGTGAAGGTTAATAACTAGTTATATCAGAATAGATTGAGATACTTCATATATCAAAAAAACCTAGGAAAAGCATTTTTGTTTAAATATTTTTAAAAAATAAATTATTAGGACTTTAAGCATTAGGGAAGTATCCAAATGATTTTCCTATGAAGCTAGTGAGATTTCATTCTTGGCAAGCCCTCTGGCTAGGCTGATCTACAGACAATTGAGCAGAATTTGCTTTAATGTGAGAATTTGGAGTGGGTACTTCACTGTTTGCTACTGCTCAGACCCTTGGTAGAACCTCTTTTTCTGCTTTCTTCCTCTCAGTTATGATGATGTCTTGTGATTGTGTATATTTTGCAAGGTGTATCTTCTTTTTTCAATAACGTTTTCTTTCCTTCTAGAAATGTTACCACTTCGTGTTTCAGCGATACCGCCTGGAGCATTATACTGTGACATCGAATTGGCTGGCGTTGGGAACACTCTTCCTGTTTGGGCTCTTATCTTTTTCTCGCTCTGTGGCACTGTTCAGAGGTAGATGTACTGAGAATATCTTAACCTGTACTCACAAGGCACTATTCCTTGGTTTTGCTTGACCCATGATTGTTCGGGTTTTTTTGCTTTTTTTTTTTGTTTTTTTGCGGTACGCGGGCCTCTCACTGCTGTGGCCTCTCCCGTTGCGCAGCACAGGCTCCGGATACGCAGGCTCAGCGGCCATGGCTCACGGGCCCAGCCGCTCCGCAGCATGTGGGATCTTCCCGGACTGGGGCACGAACCTGCATCCCCTGCATCGGCAGGCGGACTCTCAACCACTGCGCCACCAGGGAAGTCCCCCATCATTGTTTAATACAATTCAGCTTAAGCTGCAGGGGGAGGACTTTTCTACAGGGAGAACCTATGGACTTCATATTAAGATTGGGGGCTTGGCCCCAGTTGAGCCATGGCTGCTGAGCCTGTGCGTCCGGAGCCTGTGCTCCGCAACGGGAGAGGCCACAACAGTGAGAGGCCCGCATACCGCAAAAAATAATAATAATAATAATAAGATTGGGATGTGACCTCTGTACCTTAGGATTGAAGAGAAGATTGAGAATGCCTTTTAGTGTGATTAACTATAAACGTCTTCTCTATTCCTACTAATTTTTTTTTTCCTTTTAAAGGATGAATTAAGGAAGCCTTAAACTTAGGATGCAAATTTGGGGCTCAAGTCCCATGATTATATTCTTTCTTATAATCATTATTTGGATCCAGAATATTGAAATGTGCTCAAAGAACATGAAATTAAAAAGGTGGAAGGGTATAGAGAAGGGCAAGAAAGCAAATTATTTCTGGCAAAAATAGGGCCTCTGCTTTAATCATCTTCCTGACTGTAGAAGTGTTTTACACTGTAGAGTGGGCTTCCTGCTGGGGTTGCGGTGTACCTTTCACATGGATCACAGTGGGACATTAACACGCATTATAATTAAATGTCAGAATCTCATCTCCCTCATCTTTGGCTTTCACAAACCTTTCTCCCTTCCAGGGTATCATGGGCCCCTTGATTTGTATCCAGAATTTCACCGAATTGCCACAGACCCAACCATCCACACTGTCCCAGAAGGCCGACCTGTTAATGTCTGTGTAGGAAAAGAGTGGTATCGATTTCCCAGCAGCTTCCTTCTGCCCGATAAGTAAGTTGCCCTTTAATTCTCAGAGTTTTAAATCAAGGTGTAAAAATAGCAATCCTGTAGCAATGTCTTCTTAATTTTTCCTTCATTTTAGATTTTTCACAAGTTTTTGAATGATTTTCCATCTCAGAGAGCTGTGGGAACTGTGCTGGGCACCCATGGCCTGTGTTTGGTAGAATGAGTGCTGTGTCCGGTAATGCACCCTGCACTGCCCTTAACCACAGAGGTCTGGGGACGTCTGAAGACATTTTGGGCTCTGGGCTTCTGCTAGTGGCTCTTCCTAAGGATCCATATTTAAATTTTTATAATGAACTGATATCCACTTTTAAAAGTGGTTTAGAGACTCTAGGTTTCTAGAGTGTTTTTAGAGAAGACATGTTTGTCGTCCGACAGCAGTGGACATTCTCTACCAATGTATGGACACTGGGAAAGCTGTGGCTAAGACCTTGGTACCACTTTCCTCGATGCTGTTTGTTGTTGGATGTGATAGCATAGGCTCTGAGTTCCCTTGTATTTGCTTCATTTGGACAGAGAAGAGTCCTATTTAGGGAAAAGGGAAGTCAGGTTAAGATGAGTCATGTTGCTCCATTTGGGGACTGGCTTCAGCAGCTTAGCTGGTGGTAGTATCTTTTGATTGATAAAGATCCTGTATCAGTCATTAATGATTAATTAAAACTTGTTTTTTAAGCGTTAACTTTAGCATTTGCCTTTTACATTTGAAATAGTTTCACAACCAAAGATACTTTTGAGGATTACTCAGGAACAAAGTACTTTTCCCACAGTGAGTTCTTACATTTCACTCTTTTCTCTACACACCTGATGAATTTGCTTTAATTTTGATAAGTCCCTCTGATTACAGATAATTGGCAATAAACTTTGATGTTTCTCTTTTGATGGTATGATCACTATTGCAGATTTCACTGCTAAGAGTTGGTGAAATGGGTTGAGAGACCTCTAGTTGAAAATTTCTCAACGATTTTGGACTGAATTGTGACCTCTGTCTCTATTCTCTCTGGTTGAGGTTTTAACAGAAACATTTTGTCTCCAAGTGAAATGTTTTTCACATGAAATTTTTTTTTTTTTTTGCTTGTGTATTTCAAGTACATTTGGCAATGTGAGCCCCCTGTGTTTTTCTTATTTTCCTTATTTGTGTTTCTGACAGTTGGCAGCTTCAGTTCATTCCATCAGAGTTCAGAGGCCAGTTACCAAAACCATTCGCAGAGGGACCACTGGCCACCCGGATTGTTCCTACTGACATGAATGACCAGAACCTAGAGGAGCCATCCAGATATGTAAGGGCATTATTCTCCTTTTACTACTTTGAAAAGAGTTCTACCCTTAAAATCTGTTGGCATACATAATAGAGCATTGATGAAATGGGACTTTTTTAGAAAGTGATTTCTTTAGGGTGAGGGATATAACGACTTTTGTTGAGAAAGGATGAACAGTATCATTTTTATTTTCAAATGACCTCCTTAATTTTCTATGTAAAATATACAATTCAACATATTTTCTAAACTGGGCTGGAAAATTTCCTATGTTTAATTCAAATCATCATCTTGAAACGCATTCTGCAGCTCTTATCACTCCTTGGTCCATTAAAATGCTTCATGGGGAACTTTCAAGTTATAGGTGGACCTTTGACCTAATTATTAGTATACTCTGGTTTTAGCAAGTGGACAGTCAGTGAAGGCTGTTCTCACACTGAGTCCATGAAGCAATATCTGCCAGGGCCGTGCTCTTCTACCCACTCATCTTTACGCACTCGGAGATCCCATGTGGATTTTATTTCAGTTCCTTCGAAAGATGACACTTTTGTCATTTGATACCTGTAAAATCTTTGATTGTGGAAAAGGTGAGAGCAATAAAGATAATGTTCCTGGTTCCCAGAGGCAGTAAAGGACTATTTTGTAGAATTATTAGAAAACACATTTTTTGGCAACCTATCTGTTAAGAAACATTTAACAATTTAAATGTCAAATACATTTCATTTAGATTTTCTTATGTCATATACTTAAAGTGAAATATCAGGACGTTCAGTTCTCTTCCAAAGTAAACCTGCAGCCACAGCTGGCTTTTTGTCTCCCAGATTGGGGCAGGTTATACTTCCATGGAGACCCTCAGGGTTTATGAGTGAGATTCTTACTGTGTGAACTTTCGCTTATAAGCTATGAAAATGGACATGATAAAATACAAACTTGAGTTGGCTCCCTGAGAAGGTGACACATGTATTCCACTAAGTGACTTATCCTGTAGCTTCCTTCTAACTTAAGCCTCTGATTCCTGTAACAGTGACAATACCCCTGGGCAGTATGTTCTGTTGCTAGTCATTTTTATTTTAGCTGCAGATATTCTCCTGAGAGCAGGCTTTGATGTACAGGGGATCACTATGGGGACACTGGATAGTCAGAAGGGTAGGAGAATACACTGTGATAGGGGGAGGATATAATAAATTCAGAGTGTTGTTGTCACAGCTGTAATTTGGGAAGAGATAGTATAGGGTAGTAAAAAAAAAAAAAGAGCATGGACTTTGGAGTCAAGTAGGCCTGAATTCTAGTCCCAACTCTGTTGCCTACTTTGATGACATTGGGCAAATTAGTTAACATCTGTGTTTAATTAATTTCAGTTTTTGTCTGTGAAGTGGGAATAACCATACCTACTTTTGGAAGAAATAATAGGAGATTGGATATCATATCTCTCTGTCATATATAGCATAGTGTTTGGTACATAGTTTTTCCCACATATGTTCTTAATTTGATAATGGTGTATTTGATGGATTAATTTTATTGCTCCCCAACTTGATTTTTATTACAGTCTGTCCAGATTCAGTGTTGCTTTTTCAATCCCAGTGACTTTGCTTATCTTGGTGACAGTGCCTGGACTTCCCTTGTCTACCTTCTTATACTATCAAAAGTCTTTCTCTCTGAAGCCTTTCCCAACTATTAAAGTCCACAGTGGGCAGTGTCCTTCTTTAAATGCCTTAAATATTTATCTGTATAACTCATTTAGCCATTTAATTTTGTTGTCTTACGCTATTTAAATATTTCTGACGTGTATGTCATATTTTTCACTATCAGATTGTGAGTGCTATGGAGAGAATGACTGCACCTTATTTCTTTTGTATTCACCATAGTGGCTAGGATAGTGCTGTGTATCTAGTAGTTAGCCTATACATGCTTTCTGACTTGAGAGATGAATATTTGTCATTGTTGAGATAGTGATATTGAGAGAAAGCTGGCTATAAAATCTTCAGTGGCTTACAGGCACATGGAAAGATGCTCAGCATCACTAATTATTAGACAAATGCAAATCAAAACCACAGTGAGGTATCACCTCACACCAGTCAGAATGGCCATCATCAAAAAGTCTACAAATGGGACTTCCCTGGTGGCGCAGTAGTTAAGAATCTGCCTGCCAATGCAGGGGACACAGGTTCGAGTGCTGGCCCGGGAAGATCCCACATGCCGTGGAGCAACTAAGCCCGTGCACCACAACTACTGAGCCTGTGCTCTAGAGCCCGCAAGCCACAACTACTGAGCCTGCATGCCACAACTACTGAAGCCTGCACGCCTAGCGCCCATGCTCCGCAACAAGAGAAGCTACTGCAGTGAGAAGCCTGAGCACCTCAAGGAAGAGTAGCCACCACGTGCAGCAACAAAGACCTATGCAGTCTGAAAAAAAAAGTCTACAAATAATAAATGCTGGAGAGAGTGTGGAGAAAAGGGAATCCTCCTACACTGTTAGTGGGAATGTAAATTGGTGCAGCCACTATGGAAAACAGTATAAATCTTCCTTAAAAAATTAAAAATAGACTTACCATATGATCCAGCAATCCCATTCCTGGGTATATATCCAGAAAACACAAAAACTCTAATATGAAAAGATACATGCACCCCAGTGTTCATAGCTGCACTATTTACAAATAGCCAAGATATGGAAACAAACCAGGTGCCCATCAACAGACAGTTGGCTTAAGGAAATGTGGTACACACACACACACACACACACACACACACACACACACACACACACACACACACACACATCCAAATATTGCCATTTGCAGCAACATGGATGCTTAGTGAAGTAAATCAGACAAATACTATATATCACTTATATGTAGAACCTTAAAAATAATACAGATGAATACAAAAACAGAAATAGACTCACAGACATAGAAAACAAACTTATAGTTACCAAAGAGGAAAGTGGGGGTGGGGAGGGACAAATTAGGAGTATGGGATTAACAGATACAAACTACTATATATAAATAAGCAACAAGGATTTACTGTGTAGCACAGAGAATTATATCCAATACCTGTAATAAACTACAATAGAATATAATCTACAAAGAAAAAATGGAATTACTGTGCTGTACACCTGAAACTAATAAAATATTGTAAATCACCTATACTTCAATTAAAAAAAAACTACAGTGGCCTGTTGTACATTTCTTAAGGTTTGGTCACAGGTTGTCTCTGGTTAGATCATATTTCCATGTTCTCCACTACCAGATACTGTTAAATTTAAGTGACTATATTAGATTTACCCAAAAGGAGAAGATTTTCTAGAATACCTATAGGAGTCACCAAAATGCTGGCTGGTAAAATCAGGGACAAACAGGTCCTCTATGTGTTCTGAGTGTGTAGTGTCTGTCACTGTGCTCATACACCTTTCTCTCTTTGGATTTTCCTGCATGGTGGGGGAAGTGCCCTTCAAATCCAGTCCACTCACCTTTGACACTTTGGAAAGAGACACTTGATGGCTTACTGTGAATTCCACACAAACTATGATCAGGGATTAATTTCTTGCAGTTAACTGTTTAAAAAGGTATTTGTTTTTCTTTGATGATAAAAGTAATAAACACTTGTATAAAATAATGAAAGCTATCAATAAAAAAAAATCAGCTATAATCAAATTACCCCAATATTAAATCACTGTTACCATTTTGATGGTTTTTTCTTTCACTTTTTTCTCTTGCATTCATATATGTATACATATGTAAATAAAAATCTCAATTATTTTGAAAAATAACGTAGTTCTTTAAGAAACGGTGCCAGGATCAAGACTAGTGACCAAATAATTTTGGTCTCACATTTGGCCAAAATGTGAGAGCACACGTTGTAGTACGTTTATGTTTGTTACTTCTGGTATCAGCCCTGGTTTTAAGTATGGGTTCATTCAAAAAGGCAGAATAATTATGTTCTCTGTCTTTCCTGAGCATGCTAAATAGCAGCATTATTTTTATTTGCCCTTTGGCTCTGAGTGACAGGTTTTAGCCAACTCTTGGCTTCAATGCTAAATGATGTGGTCTGTCTCCTATTCCTAGTCTGAGTGGAAACTAAGAAACATGCATGACCTCCTGTATTTCCCTATGCTCTTTTACCTCTGAGTTTATCAAGAATTAGGAGTGAGTGTTTGTAAAGGCTCTTGGTTTCTACTGTATTGTTATAACTATACTGCAGCAATAATATTTTTTCGCTGCATATTCTTTCATGATAGATACTGAGTAGCTATTGAACAGGTGGTATTATTCAATGGTACCTGCCAAGATTTTCTGCCAGAATCAAGGTCTGAATTTAGAAGGTACATTCAGTGTCTCCTCTTTACTTCTTGACAAATCCAAATATTTGTTCACTGTTTCAAGGTGAATGATAACCTTCTGTTTCCAAATCTGGTGTCTGATGTGGGAGCTGCTTAGTCAGTGGATGGAGTTTGGGGTAAAAAACACACGTTCAGGAGGGATCTTACAGATAAAGACTTTTCCCTGACTTTGACTTAATGCTTAAGCAGATTTTCAGGAAGCTTTTCCATCTGTTACCTTTGAAAAAATAAAACTGGTCATTGATTAATTTTTTTCCCAAATAGTAATATAGTCAGTTCTGCTATAACGTGATATACAATTGCCAAAGATAATTGTGTGGAAAACCACAAGACTTGTGGGAAAAATGGAGTTAGGGACACAATACTCAAAAACTTTGTCAGTGACACATAAAAAAGATAGGAACCTAATAAAAACCGTGGCATAGTTTTATATATGTTAAATGGCGAAAAGTACATAAATGCTACAATAATATGGCAGTTTACCTTGAAGAAGACCTCAGGTTGCTTCTTGAAGTGGCATTGGGAGGGCTGCAGCTTGTGAAATAAGGGTTATTTGAAACATGACAGAAAGCTGTAATACCAAATATGGATGATATGAATGGGTGTGGCTCGTAACAGGCAGTGAACAGAAGAAGCTGGGAGATAATTTGAGTGTGGGCTTGTATGCACTTTGTTTATTTCTGGGCTG